CACCCCCACGACTCCCTTCCTCTTTTTCTCCTTCCATCTCCAACACTCCCTTTCTCTCCACCTCCTCTCTCCCTTCCCCTTCCTCCCCCACCACTCCCTTCCTCCTTTTCTCCTTCCATCTCCAACACTCCCTTTCTCTCCACCTCCTCTCTCCCTTCCCCCTTCCTCCCCCGCCTCCTCTCACCCTCCCCCTTGCATCTCCAACACTCCCTTCCTCTATACCATCCCTCCCTACCCCCTCCCACCCCTTTCCACCCGTGCGTTCTCTCTTCTCTCTGTCCCTCTTCCTCCTCCCCTTCCCCTTCCCTTTTTCTCTCTCTTTTGCCCTTCCCCTCACCTGTGAAACTCCTACCCCTACCCCCCTACCCCCTCCCCCATTCCCAAACGACAAAAAGAGAAAAGTAAATAATAATAACACCGATAACAATCCCTCTGTTCTGCTCGAATGGCCCATTGTTCCGCCCCCCCCTCCCCCCCCCGCCCCAGGGTCGGCCCCGTGCCCCCCCGAGGGCCCCTTCGCGAGACCCTTCTCTCCCATTCCCGCTAATGGCTGAAAACCAAATGAAATAAAGCACAACTATATTCTTTCTCTGCTTTTACTTCTTTTCTTCTGTATAGCGACTGATTTGTCTTGCCGGTTTGTTTCGGCGCCGCCAGGGGGGGACCCCTCTCGCGCCCTCCCGCCCCGAGTGAAAGAAGAACAAGGACAAGAAAGGACAAGAACAAGAGGGAACTTACCATGAAGGGCAGGTGGTTGACCAGGAAGCACAGCGCCGCCACGGCCAGCGCCGTGCCCCACCGGAAGTCGGAGGCGGGCGGGCGCGGCGCGCCGCCCCCGCGCGAGGCGCGCGCCGCCGCCCTTGTGGCTGCGCAGCGGCAGCGCGGGCGGCGGGCGGTGCGCGGCGGCGGCGGCACCAGGTCGGAGGCGGAGGACGCGGCGCGCAGGGCGGCGGCGCGCCCGAGGACGCCGTGGACGAGGCGGTGGAGGCGGAGGACGCGGCGGGCGCGCGGGCGGCGCTGGAGGCGGTGGAGGAGGCGGTGGCGGTGGCTATGGGCGCCAGGTCGGAGTGCGCGCGCGCGGGCACGGAGCAGCCGCGCCCCGCCTGCACGACGCCGGCGCTGACGCCGCCCGCGAGCGCGAGCACGCCGTAGACGCTGAGCACGAAGAGCGCGAGGCGGGCGTGCAGGGCGTGCGGCAGGAAGGAGCACTGCTCGAAGGCGGCGGGCGCGGAGGCGGGCCGCGCCAGCAGCGCCGCCACGCCCACCAGCGCCGCCACGGTGGCCAGCACCGCCAGGTGGTAGCGGATCTGGTGGCGGCGCACGGAGAAGCGGTACCTGTAGGGCCACAGGCACGTGAGGGCGCGGTCCACCAGCAGCGACGCCAGCGTGGCCGCCTGCAGCGCGCGCGTGGCGCTCAGGCCCCACACGAAGGCCCCGCAGGCGGCGCCAGACTCGGGCCGCATCAGGCTGAGCAGCGCGAAGGCGAACACCTGCAGCGCCATCAGGAGCTCCTGCACGAACACCGCCAGCAGGAACAGGTCGACGGAGCGCCAGTGGCGGCGGTACGAGTGGAACACGCCCAGCGCCCACGCGCACACCAGGAACACCAGGGGCGCCGCCGCCGACAGCCCGATCCAGCTGTAGGTGAGCGCGCGCATGGTCACGGCCATGGCGCGGGGCTCAGCGCGCGCGCGCCGCCGCGGAGGGCATCGCCGGCGCGCCTGCGAGTCACGCCCGGGCGCCCCGCCTCGCGGCCATCACGGCGGAGGGCGGCGGAGGAGACGCGCGCCGCAGGCTGCAAGGAGGAAGGAGGTGAGGCAGGGGCAGAAGGGTAAGTGGTAGTAATAACAATTATATATATATAGCAATAACAATATATAATAACGAATAACAATAATGATGACAATAACAATAATAATAATATAATAATAATAATAATAATAATAATAATAATAACAATAATAATAACAATAACAATAACAATCAGAATAATAATAATAATAATAACAATAATAATAATAATAACAATAATAATAATAATAATAATAATAATAACAATAACAATAACAATAATAACTATAATAATAATAACAATAACAATAAGCAAGAGGGCATCTGGAAAAGGTGAAAATCTTCAGAGGGAATTTTCCAGAAAAAAGAACACCATCAGAATAACAAAAAGCGCCTCGTGGATGTTCTCTGAGAACAAGTGACGCGCATTCCAATAACTTGAGCGGCACGCCATTCAAGATTATTATTTTTTTCCTAAGTTATTATCTATGAAAACAACCATTTCAGTGACTATTCCCTGTCCATTAAGATCATCATAACTCAGTCCCCTTAGCAATATCAATAAAAAAAATTATCATTACTAGAAACCACTAACACCACCACCATGCAACCCTAAATGGGTTATATCAACAAAAGCTTAGTCAGAACGGGTGCTTTTTAAAACTCTGTAAACACACCGGTTAGTATGAATTTCAAGAGCCTAACTCTCTTTCTCTTACACACATTCTAACTCACTCACTCACTCACTCACTCACTCACTCACTCACTCACTCACTCACTCACTCTCTCTCCCCCTCTCTCTTCTCTCTTTCTCTCCTTTCTCCTTTCTCCTCTCCCTCTCAAAAGTATCCGACATCTCTTGTACAGGAATATTAAGTTAGTATAGATGCATCTCGGAAGTATCAGGACACAAGCAAGTGTCTTTTGTAGACAGAAGTTCTGACGAAACCCCTCAAAGCACCTCCTACTTCATCGGTCGATCAACCTATCCATCTTCCCTATCAATCCATCCCTCTATCCATCTCTGCTACTCGCCCAGGCTACCCCTGCTCCTTCCCAGCCGAATCGAGTGCCACAAGGGATGAAACCGATTGAGAGGGAAGAACGAGAAACAAGGGAAGGAGGGAGAGAGGAGAGAGAGAGCAAGAAGCATAAGGAAAAAGGGAGAGAGAGCGAGAGTACTGGCGCCCTAATATTCAGAAGCAGGCCCCCGCCCAGGACAGGACTCGCAGGATTAAAAGTCCTCCTCGTCAGGCAGACGGGAGAGACCGAGCGGACAGACTAAAGCAGTCACAGGACAGGGCAGGTCACCTCAGCACCCGGGGCACGGGGCCTCTCGCGGCTGGCTGCTCCTCAACAAGCTGTTCGGGTTCATTAAACACCGGCGCTGGCTCTTCGACAAGCTGCTCTGGTTCATCCCATAGCCCGAGGACGTCGGCGGAGACCACGTCATCCCCACGAGCTTCGATTCGTAAGTATACTTGGAGGTGGAAGGGAAGCTGCACGCCTTCGCGGTGGACACGGGCCGCGACGTGAGCACCGTCCCTCTCGCAGTCGCACGAACCTGGACTGGTACAAGCTGGACTGGTGCTGCTGGGAGACACGGGTTGCCCACGCCAGTGTTGAGACAGAC